TATTTTATTAAACCGACTGTATATGCGTCACTGTAAATACAAACATCAAAATCCCAGTTAAAATATAGCAAATAAAAAAAAAAACTGGGTGGAAATGATGCATTAAAAGCTATGTTGCACTGACTCTCCAAAACGCTGCCACACCCATGTCGGATCCTTCAAAAATACACTACTTTTGGAGGATCTGATACGCATCCGGAGACATCTTCGGAGAGTCCGAGCAACATAGATTAAAAGCTAACTCAAGCTACACGTGCATTCAACAATTGGGAGGCAGGAGTAAGGTGCCAGTATAGACGAATAACATGCAACCATCATAAACATTATTTTTTTAATCAATAGTAACCATCATAAACATTATTTGAGGAGCTATCTGAATATGTCCAAGAATTATGGAGAAGATAATGATTGTTTGTTTGCATTACTACAGTGTCATGTACCTGACAGAAAAGCAATGAGGCTACTTAAAAATATGTAGAAATCTAATAGAAATTTAGCCAATCTTCACCATAAGTACATAACAATATAGGAAGCCTGACAAAGAAAATCCCAAAAACCAAGCGATTGAGGCATTAACCTGAGATCAAAGGATTAGAAACATCCAAAGAACCTCGACTACTTGTAGTTGAAAGTAACCGACTATGGTGGTCTTGAATTGAAGGCTTCATCACAAAATCATACATAAAAGTAAATCTTGCGCTGAAGGGGAAACAAAAGCTAATGTTCCCCATCTAGAACCCCCCCCCCCCAATGAAAAAAAGAAAAAAAGAATAGTTTATTTCTCATCGATGATCTAATAACATAACTTAAAGTGTAGCCAAAGCAACCACTTCTTCGCTCTTATTTTTGGCATTTCAGCATAATCCAGATTTGCAAGTGAAAAATGTCCTTCACTATCCTTTTAAAAGTCTGGGCGAGGAAGCTTTTTTTGATCTAGCAATAAGGTCTAGGTGAGGGAGCTTAAAAAATGCAAATCACAGTCTTGATCAGAAGCACATAAGAGATTGCATTATCATTACTTTGAAAAATCACAAATCGAAGTATTTCTATATGGAAATTTAACAAGGCTATAATTCATACCTGCATGAAGCATCTCGGCATTTGTATGCAGAGCCACCAAATATGTGAAATGGAACAGAGAAGAATTCATTATATATCAAGCCACAGTAAATTGAAAATATTGACATTAAGAGGAGTACATAGCGACCGCCAAAGAGCATCTCCATAAAGCTGCCCAGTTTCTGTCAGATATTTTTATTTGATCATAAAAGGAATATATAATTGCATAATTACTGATGTTAAGTACTCCAAGAGAGAGGCTGAAACAATGAGAGGACATACTTGAGAGCTAAGCTTGCTTTCCTTAGAAATGAGAACTAATGCTCCCAACAGCAAGCAAATTCCATGACCCCAATCTCCAAACATCACCGCGAAAAGGAAAGGGAATGTAACAATGGTGTAAACAGCAGGATTTGCCTCCTGGTATTTAGCAACACTGTCAATGTAGACATTAGTAAGTGCTTTTGTTTTCAGAAGCAACAGAAGACATGGATATTTCAATTTGATTAAAAAAAAAAATAGATTCCACACTTGATCTTAACCAAACAAGCCAGAAAGGTATAAGAAATGGATATTGTTTTTCATATATGACTTAAAGGAAACAATGAAAATGAAAATTTTATTTGAAGAGCTGAGGCATCCCAAATTAATAACATTAAACGTAAAAAGAACAAAGAAAGGGAAGAAAACTGGACTCTCTGTTTTAAGTATATATCGTTTTGCCTATAGAGGGCTTCAGGCATAATAAACACCTTACTGCAAATGTCGCTGTCTGAACTAAAGGAAAAGTAGGGGGAAAACTCCAGCCAAACACGCATACTGTTTATCATCAAAATCAGTGACACTCTAAAGGAGATGACGTGACCCATCAGATGAACAAGCTGCTGCCACTAGATTCGACAAGGAATCATGTAAAGAAGAATGTCAACTAACATTCTATCCCCAGAATTTAACAGCATCACCTAACTCATTACATTGTAAATCAGTTTCGCAGATAACTAAATGCTACTATACATTTACTTACCCATACGCATCTACAATTTCTTGATATGCATTTGTGAAACGATTTGTCCTGAAGTATGTTGGAGGTGAGTCTACAGCACCCATCACATGAAATACAATTCCCACTTGTGAGTTGCTATCAATTGTCGCACGTTGCAAAGCCTCTTGTATCTAACGTGTCAAAAGCATGTACATGGTAATACTATCATAAACAATGCATATACAAACAGTGCATATGTAACCGCTAACATAAATAACATAAAAAAAGAGTACCTTAGTCTTTGCAAATATCGGACACCAGCCCTCTCCAACTAGACACTTCTTTGTGACATCAAAATTCAGCATATTTAATGTGTCATAAACAGCCTTTTCCCTTCTAACCTAGAAAAAAGAGTTGAACATTCAACTCGTATTTCAGGGTAACAAAAAGACTTGCTCTCACAAGCCACTAATTAACTATATTATAAAAGTGAAAACTTATACTGTTGTCGTCACTCTTACCATGTTCATCCATTTTGTGAGGTGAAACCCAATAGATGTTAAGGCTTTATCTCGATGACGTAATCCAACATCCAGAGTGGTTTCCAATTCAGATAGCCGAGATAAAACCTGCACTCAAGATGTTATCCCAATGGTATTACTTTAGGGCAGGACACTTGAAAATGATTACAATCGAGATAATATATGAAAGAGAGCTAAGATTAGACTCATCGAACTGATACATTGTGAAAGCTACATCACATAGCGCTACTCTAGTGATTGTAAAACCAATATAATGGCCATTTTTCCATGTATACTTTGTTCCGTGCATAATATGACCTCAGATATACATTAAAACACAAAAGATACTAGACAGAAGACAAAAGAAATTGTTCCATGTCTTGCTAGCAGTATATCCCAAAGTACACTGACTGGTGCAATAAAACAAGTTCGTTCAGTGATGATGTCTATGAAACTCTCGTCCAGTAATCAGAAAGACTGGCATTAAAAAGTTAACCAACATACTTCTCGAGTTATTTGCCTCCTCTTGGTCATGTCTTCAGGAACAGGATAGCAATTAGCACCAAACGCCTCACATATTTTCAATATTTTTGTTCTCGCCTGCTCGCCCGAAAAGAATACTACGAAGATGATTTTCTCAACCTACAGAAGTAAAAATTGGGAGTTAACCACATAGTGAACTTAATACTTAGCCATTTTCAATAAGATAGGAGAAAAAGAAATAAGAATATGAATGGGAATTAGAGTATTGACGAAACCATACAGCATAAAGTGAAAAGATAATTCATGGACAATTTCCTTTATTAGGAAGAAGTTCTTAGTGCACCAGTGTACAGAACTATCTCCTGGCATTAACACAAGAACAATTTAGAAGAAAGAATGTAACCATTTCATTTGAGGTAGGATCCAAGATTTCTTCATCAGCAACTGCCTGATGGAAAAGCATATTGCCCCTCGTTGCACGAAATAGCATTCTTTCAAATTGTAGAACTTTGGACTTGCAGATAATGCCACTAATAAATCTTACTCCAGATTGATTTGAAAGTTCTGGTTGCATCTCCTGAAGATTGAAAGAAACCTTATCTCAGACACTTCATAGATACAAATAATCATTATCCTGCACCGGATCAGTTTTATAGCAAGAAAGAATCAATTACCTGCTCAAGTAATGATGCTGTATCTGAATAGTTATGATTGGAGTATACGTTTTCATCTAATTCTGTTTCCTGAGCTGTTGTATGACTTCTACTTGAGACAAGGAAGTCACTAGCCTAAAATTCGCAGAGTTATAGTTAGCAGAAATAAGAATAGCTCTGAAAAGGCAAATATTTCTCGACCATAAGAAAAAAGTATGACTTTGGTTAACTAACTAGAACAGAATTGTCTATAAAGTTTGTTGAGTGGTTTGACGTATCAAATGCTTGAAGGAAACATAATTGGCAGGCACCATGTCAGGCATTAATAACACCAGATTAAGTACGAAGAATCAATTTCTCAACTAACAATGTTACTTGAGAAGCCATTAAATGCTTAGTGCATAAATGCTGATTGATTAGAGCTAAAGCATCTAGAAATAAAAAACATCCCTATGGAAGAATAACAAGAAGTCACATCGAAGAAAACCAAGTATAGTTTGACATAAACATGCTTTTTGAATTGTCAAAGCATTACACTCTAATTATGACTAAACAGTTCAATGCAAGGATAGAAGAAGCAAAATAGATGGACACTAATGCAAGCCAATACCTTGTACATGTATGCATACGAAACAAATGCATGACAGGCGTACTCATATTGATGAAATATCCAGACAGCAGTATTAGTCAGGCATGGACCAATTTCTCAAATGTAAACAGAGCTCCTTAATGCAACAGTAAGAAAGAGAAGTTAAATTGTACCTTCTGCAATACCAGCTTAAACTCAAGCAACTCATTGTATGATTGCCTTAGCTTCTCGCTATTAGCATTCATTTCAATCAACTCATGTTCATGCTCTGCAAGTTGTATCTGAAATTCAGAATAGGTCTGCATGAGATTTACTTGAACCAAAAAAAGTATGAAAAGGAAAAGATCAAAAAGAAGAAGCTTAAACACGATTTGGACAAGTAAGTAGGGCGTTCATTTGTCAGCAAGAAGAAAAACACCTCCAGTTCTTCCAGTTCAATATCAGGTTGTGAAGCAGGACGTGGAGAAGGCAGCAGCCCAGCTTTTTGTATCTGATCTTTGAAAAATCGTAGTTTCCTTGACATCTCAGCGCATCTTTTTACCTATGAAAGATCATCCATGATTACAATGAAAAGATAATTATACACCACTGCATCATAAAATTCTGCAAATGCTTTTGATACCAACTTGGTCGTTAGTAATGTAGTTTTTTGTTTATAAAAATGAGAAGCACTTCAATAACTCCACACAAAAGTTAACAAATTTACATGCTGAATTCTCATTCCAAGTTATTGACCTCCTCTTTGCCAGCAGAAACACTGAGGTATCATGCTGCTTTGGAAAATTAGTAGTCATTCCCAAGAAGTACATTAGGAAGGCAACTCAAATAGGAGAGTTCCATTGAATTACTTGAAATTCAGTTCTTTTTTTAATATTTTCTAAGTGCAAAATACTGAATACTATTCCCACTAGAATGTGTCCAAATAACCTTTAATTGGTCGATCAAAATATTATATCAAAATTTTAAAGCGTATCCTTTTTAACAAATTTTAAAAAAGGAAGAGTTTTCTGAAGACAAAAAATAAAAAGAGATTAAAATGGATATAATAGACAAAAGAGGGGAGAATGGAGTCAAAAAAGTGGAGAGATCAATGAAGTAGCTCTTATCGTTATGTTAGTTTATATCTTAGCTTTAGATATTGAAGCTGGAGATGGGGACAAATATATGTTAGAACTTGAGGAATCAAGGTAGGTTGGCGTTTATATTTTAGCACTAATTATGCAACCAAAAATGTGAAAACACCTACCCTATGGAGCTTCACTCTTTTCTCTGCACCAAAGGAATTTTAGCAATCAGATGCTTCATGTAACTAAGGTTGACTTTATAATATGAATTATCAATCACTGTAGTAGCATCAATGCAGGATTATATGGAGGAGTTTATCTAAAAATCAGACCAATCTTGAAGATAAATAATAGCAACAACAATATTTACTTCAAACATTTTCAATATCCTATTAACCTCAACATCACTGTATGCTACTATTATTATAACCTCAGTGTAACTTTACACTACCATTACTAGCTGAAATAGGACAAAGGTACTTCTTATCTTGACTAAAGCAATTGACTTTCATCAACTCTCAAAGTTTTTCAGCAGAAGCTATTGATGATTATGATTTGTCAAAAATACAAGCTAACAATGATTAACAATTCAATAAATTAAGTTATTGACAGATACGAATTCCACTGAGGTAACAACATATAGAATATTCAACACAAAGATGTGATATTCACTATTAGTGTATACCTGGTTTACAAATGTTCTTTGAAAAGGACTCTTATCATCATTTAACTGTCAAAAGGAAAACTTAGATAATGAGTACGTTTCCCAGTTAACAATAACAAAGAAGGTGAAACAGACACAAAATACCAAACATTTGTATTATAAGGCATAAGTAAAGAAATCAATTTGCCACAACCAAAATCTAGTCAGAGAGATGAATAGTAATGACATGCTTATGGACTAAAATCAAGTGATTAGCAGTAACCCTGAAACATCAAGAATGAAGGAAAGGGCTACTCTACTCATCTTCCCGCCAACTCCAAAAGCAAAAACAAGCATAGAGAAATTTGCATTCCTTTAAGATATTAACTAAATCCATACAGATGCTGCACCAAGGCAATTCAGTAGAAGGACATTACAGTCTGTTTTATTGGAATACACCTCATTTTGGCCTTTCAAGATCAAACCTTTTCTTTATGTAGTAAAAATTTTATTAATGAAGGGAAACAAGCACCCGTATAGATGATCAAATTATTATCATGTAGTGTTTTTTTTTCTTTTTCTAAAAGGTTGTTGTATCATGTACTTTTCTCGGTCACCATTCAGACAGAAGAAAACTATAGTCTGTTTCACTTAGATAGCCGGATTTAAAGTTGAATCTATCTTTCAAATACTACTTCAAAAGAAAAGGCAACCCTGCCTACAACATTTCTTTGTTTAGAAGAAACAGAGGCCAAAGAAGTAAGGGCGATTTGGAACAAGTGTGTACCCTGTCATGATTATCTTCCTGCGATACAAATAATGCATCTAATATCTAAAAATGAGTTGTCAGTTAGGAAGCAAATCAATTTATTCCTTGATGACAAAATTTGCGTAAACCAATTCCTTGGTCTCTCTTTTCATTAGCATTATCAAAGGCAAACCCAAAAAAATTAAAATTCATTTATCTCCTTTGGAGATGCATTTCAATAATTAGGATAAGTATTACGCTAATAGAGATGTGTTTCGTCAAGCTTAGGCGTTAGAGATCAAAAGAAAGTTCCAATCTGTAGTCACTATTCCAGGTGTGACAGTAGAAATCATCACAACTTGAAGGTTCATAAGCTTTAAGCAGCTACGCTTTTTCAAACCAAATTCACAGGAAACAAAGGAAAATGAATGCTGACTACTTCTCTTGTACCGAGCAAGATAGCAATTAACAATCTGTTCTAACTTAAGAGGCCTGATCACGTGTACAACCGAGGAAAAAGAGAAAGAGCTCTCTTACAAGATCTTTTGGACTCTAATATGTTATCATCTGCCATAACTCAACTTTACTGAGGGCAACAGGTAAAGAGAACTACCTTATTTTACCATTTACAACCATTTCCATCTAGCTGACTTTGAACATTAAAACACTAGTCATATGTTTAGGAAGGTTGAAAGTTCTTGTGCAGATTAAAAGAATGGCAATGGTGAAGATGCGTATAGCATTTAAGGGCTTTGAGAGCATCAAAATCTGGTTATAGGTGGGTGGAGGGTGTTCACTTGATTACCAGCCGAAAAAGGATGAAGAGAAAGTCTTGAGCCACTTTTTTTTTTAGTAAGATGGGGTAAATTTTTATTAATAAAGTACCAAGATGGTAGAACAGTTACACCAAAAAAGAAGGCACAGACCATCTGACCATTACGTGCTTCTTCCTAACATATCTAGGAAATGATCAAGATATTGATCCATAACTCTCGAGACACTTGCTCCTAATCATCAGTCTTCTAATACTCCCTCCTCCATCCCAATTTGTATGAAACTCATTCCATTTTGATACCATTCTATTTATATAGAATTTTCATAGCTTTGAAGAATTCCAATTAATTAAGCAATTCAACTTTTTACTTTGAATGTGATGTTTTCTCTATCAAAAGAACTTCTTTTTATCAGTTTCTCTATCAAACTACCTTAAACAGTATCCAATCAAATATCGTCATATCAAGTAAAACTGAGGGAGTAGTGACGAAGACAACGACACTGAAAAAGATGAAAAGACTGTTAAACACAATATCAACCAGATCTAGTAGCTAGAGGACTACTGCAAAGAAACATAGTGGCCACCATCTCTTTTTTTTTTTATGAAGTAATAATAGATTTCATTGCTGGCATCACGAAGATGCATAATAATACAAAAGTTATGGAAGCAAAAAAGACACTGTTAGCTCAATTACAAAAAGACTATTCTAGTACCAGGGAGCTAACGAAGTTCAAAAAGTTGTCAGGAGAATCTAAGGGAGAAAGGTAATGCCAACTATAAAGATACAAAAGACATCTAGCCTTGAGGGAATGATTTGGAGTTGATAAACCTTCAAAACATCTGTTGTTCCTTTCTGACCATATACACCAAAAAATACTCGCAGGAATCAGAATGCGATCAAAACTAATTCAACCTCAATTCCTTACTCATTCCTATCCCAATATTTAAGCTCACAATGTATCGTCCATATCAAGTCTTGATAAAAAAATAAAAAATAAAAACAACTTTTCATTAAATCAATTCTTAATCACCAATTGCAACCAACATGACAAGTCCTCTCTACTACCAACAGGGAATAAATCCACATCACTACCATAATTAATGTTCTAATATCCGAGCAGCACATAGAATGTTATCTTTTTTATTTCAAATTGGAACAACAAAGGCTGAACCTCACTGGATCATGGCAGCAAAGCAACAATAATAACCAGCTTAATACATAAAATTAGCATACAATAAATATAAAGTCGGTGCGATTAATTAAATTTAATCAATCACAAAATAAATAAAGAAAGGAGAGAGAGGTATAGATCTGTACATCGCGGAACTGAAGAAGGCCAAGTTGGCCAAGGTAAGTAATAGCAGGGTGAGCCGACTCAACAGGAATGATAAGCTGTACAAATGTCATATTTTCTGAACGCATCATATCCATTGGAGGCAAATTGTCTATGTACTCCATTTTCCATACACTGAACAAAAATTAGTGTAGAGGGATCCTATCTAATTTTTCTTCAGATCTGATCACAGAAAACACAAACAGTCACACTTTTCTTATCGTACTTTGTATGTTTCTCTGAGTTTTTGTTATTAATGGCGGCACCGATTTTGGAATTTCAGTTCATGCGTATTTTATTTGCAGGGGTTGGCAAATGGTACCAACTGCCATGGGAAATTCAGTTTTTCCTTTTAATTTTTGAGTCTGAAGAAGGAGAGAGGGGTGGAGTGGTAAAAATGAGAAAATTCAGATTATTAGAAATGAAATTGTAATTTACTCTACCTTTTTAGTCGTTGGTCAAATGGTGAGTTATAATAAACTATGTATGTAATTTCAAAAAGAAAAAAAAAAGGATATTATTTTATGCAGAAAATTAAAGTGCCTACTTGTACGGGGTAAATTGATTAGCCACAGGTGGATGAACCACAATAAGACATGTGGAACTGAAGATACGTAAGATATGAATTAGTAAATAGTTGGCATCGAATACAAACTGTGACAAGTGCTGAATAAGTTCTGAAGGCATTGAAATCGAGAATGAAGATTTCACGACCCAAATTCTCCCTCCATGAACCTTCGTGATAGCACTTAGTCTCTACGACTAGGTAAGCCTAACATTTGCGGAAATGAAATGAAAAACATAAAAGCTAACAACAAACAACAACAAATAATTTAAATAAGCATTTGAGATGTCGCTCGGCATATACAATAATAAACTCTCGAAATATACACAACACTCCCAAAACTCAGAACACCGTAATTCACAAGCTTCTAAGAATTTCTAACTATTCTATACATTAGTGTCTAGAGAATTAAAGGAAGAATCAACACAAGAAGGGATAGAAGGGGACTCCGAAGTTTGCGGACGCTGGCAGATGTACCTTGAAGTCTCCTGAACAGCAGCAACTGTGCAACTAAACTCGAAGCTGGTAGGAGGTACCTGGGTCTGCACACGAAAAATATGTGCAGGAAAGGAAATGAGTACACCACAACAGTACTCAGTAAGTGTCAAGCCTAACTTCGGTCGAGTATTGACGAGGTTAGATCAGGGACGTACTGGTATAGATATAATAAAAACAAGACAGAATGAAATATCGCAGTAAAAAAATAAAGATCGAAATTTAACAAGAATGAAATCATAGAAAGGTAACAGCTCAGTACACAGAGATAACAACAGGGGATCTCCCGAGATACCGTCTCGTAGTCCCAAACGTAAATATACATGGGATCTTCCAGAATACCGTTCTGTAGCCCCAAAGTAAATATGCAAGGCAGGGGGATCTCCCGGAATACCGTTCCGTAGTCCCAAAGTAAATATGCAAGGCAGGGGGATCTCCCGGAATACCGTTCCGTAGTCCCAAAGTAAATATGCAGGCTCAAACAACGAAAATAATAGTTACAACAAAAAAAAACTACAGTTTGGACTAAGTACATGGACTAAGTACAAGTCAAGGAAAAACAGGAAAATCTACTAAGCATGCTACACAAAGTTCAGATAAGCAATTAAGGCACGTAGACATGTTGTTTTAAGCTAAACAATATAATTACAAATGCTGATAGAACCTGATAGGTTAAAAGTATCTTGGTCATAAGTACTTTGTTTTATGTTTTGATGATCTAACAAACTTACTATCAAGAACTAGATAAGGAACCTGCCACATATTCTCAAGATGATAAGATCACAAGGTTCCAGCTTGGGTTATGGTTCAACTCTTCAGAGTAGAAGGAACAACTGAGGGAACAGGTCCCTACCAGTTCCTGAGGTGACTATACGAAGTCAACTCTCCAGCTGAAAAAGTTGTTGCTTGTACACGCTATAGTACAGGAAGAGTGCAACATCAACTTTCTATGAAAGACTTTTTACCTACCTTGCTTACATCATTGTATGTGAGGTCACGCATGTATTATTACCACCAAGGGAGGTAAAAACACATTTACTTGAACACTTTGAAATTTCACTCAAGCTCACTCACGTGACCATCCAGAAAGCAAGTCTCAAGTGCTTCAACAACAAAGAACAAAACAACTACGGACCAGTTCCCACATCGAGTTATTATATGTCCATAGTTGAGTTGTAACTTTGTTAATATTCTTACTTGTAACTCCTATTTAGCTTACTAAAAAGCAGTATGTAGGAAACCCTTTGTAAATCTTAAACCTATGTGTTTGGGTCTTGGCTAGAGTTAGTCGAGTTGTAAAGTCTTTGTAATAGAGTTATTACAAAGTGGCTTGTAATAGAGTATTACAAGTTAGTGAGAGATTAAGAGGTTAATTCCTAGGTTGCATAGGTAGTAGTCTAAAAGTTGCTCAGTAGTCAAATTGAAATCCTACAAGGGTAGGTCGTAGTTTTTAATCCCGTTGAGCTGGAAATTTTCCACTTAAAATTTCTCTTGTCATTTATTTACTGCAGTGTGCATGTGTTCTGTTGAACCTGATAGAGAATCTGGTTCTCTATAGAGTTTGGTGGACCCTTATATTCTATCAAACCCAAATAAGAAGAAACATGTTATTACTCAGTACAAATCGGATTTTACAACAAATAGCTCATGTACCCACTCGTCACCTCACGTACACAGCGCTCACATATCGGAAGAGTACCAAATCCTAAGAGGGGTTCCCCCACACAATGTTAGGCAAGCCACTTACCTCGAACCAATCTTAAATCAATCCGTAACAATGCTTTTCCCACGAATATTCGCTCCGAATGGCCCAAAACTAGCAAAAATCAATTACATATCATAAATATAACTACAAGAAACTAATCTAGCTAATGAAATCAAAGCTAAAGCAAAAAATTAGAAAATCACATCAAAAGCCTCCCCGGGCCCACGTCTCGAAATCGGTTAAAAGTCACAAAATATGAACACTCATTCGCTCATGAGTTCATTCGTACCAAAATTACTCAAATCCGATACCAAAATATCGATCAAAATCCCAAAATTTGGCCTAAGAATTTTTCTCAAAATTTTCCCAATTTTTTCACCCCAAATTCCTAATTTAGTGATGAAATTAAAGGCATAATCATGAAATTAACTAAAACTAGGTAAGAATCACTTACCCCAGACAACCACGTGAAAATCTCTCCAAAAATCGCCTAATTCCGAGCTCTCAAGTCCAAATGGTGAAAATGACATAAACCCTCGATTTTAAACTTTTAAATCTGCCCAAGTGCTCTCTTCTTCGCGAATGCGGAAGGACCCTCGCGTTCGCGAAGCACAAAATCGCTTTGGCCCAGAAATCCTTCATCGCGAATGCGAAGACCACTTAGCCCAATCCTACGCGAACACGGAATCAACCTTGCGAATGCGTAGGCAAAAGGCCTGGGGACCCAGCTGTCCCTTTTTCCTCTACGTGAACGCGTTCTAAGCCTCGCGTTTGCGATGCTTCCACTGACCACACCTTCGCGAACGCGGGCTCCCCTTCGCGAACACGAAGAACAAACTTTTGCAGCAAAAAACTTACTATCTTTCCAAAGTCCAAAATGATCCGTTGAGCATCCGAAACACACCCGAGGCCCCCGGGACCTCAACCAAACATACCAACAAGTTCTAAAACTCCAACTTCCAGAATTGGAATCCGACCCAGATATCAAAAAATCCACTACCGGTCAAAATCTCCAAAAATTCGACTTTCGTCATTTCAATCCTAAATCAGCTACAGACCTCCAAAACACAATCCAGACACGCCCTTAAGTCCAAAATCATCCAACGAAGCTAACGGAATCGATGGAACTCCGTTCCGAAGTCGTCTTCACACAGTTCCGATTACGGTCCAAATTCTAAGACTTAAGCCCCGTTTAGGGACTAAGTGTCCCAAAACACTCCAAAAAACAAAACGAAAGCTCCCGGCAAGTCACATAAGCAGAAAAAGATACGGGGGAAGCAGTAAATAGGGGATCGGGGCTATAGCTCTCAAAATAACCGGCCGAATCGTTGCAGAAGATTTGAAAGGAAGACATCGGTTAGAAAAGAGTATTCAATGAGAACTCGTTACAAAGAATCTTTGTATTAATGCCCAACTGTTAGGCATCCATCAAGAAAAAGAGATTTATTCACATTAAAGAAGAGTTTGATTTGAGGATTTTATCTCCCTGATAAAGCTATAGTTAGGGAAATTTGTATCCATGAGAAGACACGTAAAATTCTGTCAGCAAAAGCCAAAATGTGTTCTTATTTTATCAATCTATTTTTTTTCTTTTGTTCTTGATATTCTTTTTATCACTGCTTCCGGATAAGCTAAGTTCATAACTAGACTTGTATTTCAAAATTATTTTAATAAACTTATTTATGTTCTTATTTATTTTATATTCTTGAATCAAATTATTTCATATGTTTATAAATCACGTTACAATTTCAACTATACCGGATAAACACGAGTGAGGTTTTAACGTGGAGAATTTTTTTTTCCTTCACGAAAACGGGGTCAAAATTGATTCTGTTATGTGATGGATGAGAATTTTGCCTTTTGGATGTTAGTAAATAGCCTGCAATTACGGTGAAACGTTATATGTTTTGGCCAATCAAACCTACTAGAAAATTTAGTAAATAAAAAGGAAAGCAAATGTCAACTTATCCTTGAACCATTAGTCTCATTGAGTCATTGTATTTTGGGGAACTGATGAAATCTTGGTGAAACGTCATGTACTCGGGCAAATGGCTTTCTTCTATGGAACATTATAATTTTTCTTAGTTGAAGAAATCACTCAGTAGGAAATTAATTATTTCTTTTTAGTGAGAATAGGGATTAGCAAGGATAAATGAAGTAAATCAAAAGAGGCTAAAACAAATGTTGTCGTGTAGAGGTAAAGAGAAAATCTAATTGGAAGAAAGGCGTTTTTTTGGCTTCATTTCATATAGCAAATAGCGAGTAGGAAACTCCAACTTGATAGTAAGTTAGGACACACCTACTAAGTTGGGACTTGTGAATTCTTGATCCCTATGGTGTTCACTATGGTAATATTTTTAGTTTTATGACCCTTTTTTTTTCCTTTTATAGGAATATCTATCTCTTTTTCTCTCGTTGTCTAGTCTATAAAGCATCTTGTTGTAGTGGGGAGAGTGGAAAGTAGTGGCTGTAACTTTCTTTTTTTCCAAAAGAAAAATTATTCAAGGTCTGTGCATGGACTTAAAGCAAACGCAATCTCTAGTGTTGTCTTGCACGTAATGCTCACTAGCGTTGGATCAAATGTGGAAAGTACAGCTCAGAGGCATGCACAAATTATAGAACATTGTCTTTTCTTAATTAAAAG